GGGAACTTTAAGATGTGTGAACTTCAACTCCCAGAATTCCCCAGTCAGCATACTGGCTGGGGAATTCTGGGAGTTGAAGTTCACACATTTTAGAGTTCCCAAGGTTGAGAAACACTGTTCTAGTCTGACATTCTGTTTCCAGCTGTGCCAAGCAAATACCTTGTGCATGATCACAAGCCTGTTACTTGTCCCCTTACATTACCTCTGAATGTGGAAGTTTCCCTTGGCCACAATGGGCTTTAAGTGAACCACCTTCCCTTATAGACTAAGCCATAAAATGGTGGTAGTAGGCAGACTGTCTAAGAATATGATGTGAAAAAAATAAAGGTGGAAACATATTTTAGATCCTATTGAGTCCCACTAGTGCTGGTTGATAATTTTGTTGCCTTAAGTGGAAATTGGCATAAGTGGAAGGGAAATTACCTTCATTATGAACTGGGATTGTGCCAACGCTTACTTCCCCCCCCTTATAATATATTTACAAGGCTGGAAAAAGCCAGCTACACAGCCAGGATGGGCCTAAATTCTGATAGTCTGGAAAATAATCCCCAAATAATCATAACATGAAAGTTGCATGTTAGAATATGATAAGGCTGTTTACTGCAAGACAAAATTGTTAGAATGTGTTCGTGTGACTTTTCAATGGAAAAAACAAGGAGAGAGTGATTAAAAAAAACCCCTCCTTTTTGCTTTCCTCATATTCTGGAGAACATATTATGAAAAAAAAAGTACAAGTTAATAAGATTATATAAGTTGAGATTTTTTATGAGCTTCTTTATGTAATCTTTTCTTTGGATGTGTTTGTCATAATCATAAAGTGAAGGAAAATTACATTTATAAATAGGTTTAGAGATATCTTTTTTGAGCAGAATTGCTGTTCTGATGGATTTGTGAACCTGTGTAAAATAAGGTCAGTGCCTTTAAGGTTGCAGTTTCTATAGTTGAAGAGACAGACCTAATTGAGCCAGACAGCTTATAGCGCTAATTCTTCAGCAGCAAAACTGCATTTATTTTTACACAGATGTAAAGGAGCATTGAGGGTCCTCACAAACAGCAGGGCTATAAAATGCGATAGGCTTTAAAATGCAATAGGCGTTGCTCTTTCTTTGACTCAGGCATGTGGGCAGTTAGAGCAGTGATAGCATATTCACTTTCTCGGGTCCTAGAAAACTGCATAAGAAAAGTGGAGTGGATAGGTAGGTCTTTTCTGCCCTCAGATGGCACAGTTGATTTCTCCAAAGCGCCGGCATTTCATCACTTTCAGGTAGGTCTCCACTTTGTGCAGGTCTTTCTTGAAGCAGGACAAGAGACTGTAGTTTTTCAGCAAAGAGCCTTCATTCCGGAGATTGACCTCAAACTTTTCATAGGTGGGTGTAAGCGGCTGAAGGCCCCGGGAGCTCCCATCCTCCAGCTCCTGGAAATATATGTTGTAAGTGGAAAGAGTACCACAAAACCATTTAGCATGGTCATTTCGCTTAAACACACACACACACACAAACACACATTCAATTTGGCAGATTTTGAAAATTTCCTAGCATTTACTTAAGTATAAGGGGCTACTTATATTGTATTTTTGTGTTTATGTGTAGTTTCTGTTTTCTGTCTCTTTTTTTGGCTATATTTTTGTTACGAATATTTTGTTGATCATTGTGTATGTATGTTGTATATTCATAAATATACTAAGATATACTACATACACATATATGTACATAAAAGGGATAGTGAATCCATAGCTGCATTATTGTAACCCTCTGAACTCCATTCTAGCCTGATCCATGAGTGAGGGTACATCTGTAGAGTGTTAGAATTCCCACTGCCCAACCTTGGGAAAGCATCTGTGTATAGCTTGGGTTCCATATTTTTTAGCATTTTTTTTAGTTCTGGAGTAGAGGGCCAAGGACTGTGCTGGTTGCAATTAATGGGAGTTAGAGTTAAATGTGTCTGGAAGACACTGAGTTGAAGAAGACTACTATAACTTTGAAGGGCTAATCTCTTCATTGATTACATGATCACTGAATAGAGGTCCTTGTGGATTCATTTTGGGGGTTATTTTTCTTTTAATTTTACAGAACACCTTAATTCCTTATGCGTACCTGTTACAATCTCAAAATCAATTTTTTCCCCCACCCTTTATCAATCCCCCCATTCACATTACAGTTTTACATTTTTCTAATGTTAAGAAGCCATAATAAGAAGGCTTTCTCATTGGAAGACAATGATTTTGCGGGTTGGGATTGATTGTTCTGGTTTTATGAGTAGAGATGTCTATCTTTCCTAGTTTCATAATAACATTAGCCAGGTGGTACAGTTCAATCTGTGAGAGTATTTAAAAATAGCTGCTTACCCTCATAAGAGCTTGGATACCTTCTTCCAAGTCCTGGAGTTTTTCATAGACTCTGTCTGAAGTCCCAAACACAAGGCTGTTCGTAAACACCCTGCTCAGAAACCGTACAGGACTTAGCCAGGACTGAATGAGAATCAGTGAAAACCTCAGCAGTTCCATGTCCTAGAAAAATAGATAAACTTTAAAAAAAAGCAATTTAAAAAGCAACTTCTGTTTTCTACCCTGACCTCTTAGAGCCCAAAGAAAGAGATCAAGGATAATAGCATTCTGTTATCTATCTTAAGATAAATGGATGGGAATATAAGTTCAACAGACAAGCAACATTCCAGCCAGTGCAGACCATCTCTTTTCAGATCAGTTCCTTAAGCTTGCCTTAAACCTAGTTTCTTGTTGCACTTTTCATTATCATAAGAACATCTGTGGACAATAATAGATAAAAAATGTTTCCTGGATGGTTGTTAGATACTTCTAGCTAGAATATGTCTCTCTTGCTCCAATGAAAACGTGAGCACATAAAACTAATCCGTAATGGGATCTGATTTCTTTTTGGGTTAATGTGGAAACTTCTCTATATAGGAAATAATTGTTTGAAGCCACGGTAAATGGGTTTCAGACATCTAATTAAGCCCAAAACAAACCACGTTATTGCTTAGCTTAAGTATGAAATGCTTGGTTAAATGAAAGAAGCAATAGGGAGAAAAGTTGTAGGTGTACCATTTGGAGAATAGCATGCTCTGTTATGGATTGGCATAGTACAACTGAATTCATTGTACAAAACCATAATGTACATTGTTTGGTTTTAACAGTGTGCTGTATGAATCTAGCCTTGCAATTTGTAAAGCGTGATTTATGGCTTAGTGTAATATGTGACCTTAGCTTTTGGGTCCTTCTCAGTGTTGAGTTAAAATGCTATCCATGGAGCCCTGCATTGACAGAAAACTATACTTGCATAAAATTTGTTGCCTCCAATGCTGATCCTCATTCTGCCTCTGCTATCCTGATTATGAGTATAGCTCATGAAAACAAAAGGATTGGTTTAGTCTTCTGGCTTTGTTGCCCTCCCTCTTCACATCACCGGGTGGTTGGAAAAACATTTAATCGTGCAGCAGCTTCACGCTGTTGCCCTGCAAGCTCCTCCTGTTTGGGACATGTGTGACATCACAGTGAACATCAAAAAGGCATGGGGCTTGCATCATGATGCTGTGATGTCAGCCTGACCCCCTTACCCCCTTCTCTGCAGACACTATGTGCTCATAGCACTGCAGCGAGAAGAGGATGGATATAATTTCAGAACTGTTGCATCTCTAGGCTCTTTCTTGTGTTGCCTTTCCAAGCTGAATAAAGTTCTTATTAAAAAAAAAAAGAAAGAAAGATTGGAGCCATGAAGGGAACTGAATTAGAAACAAAACTTTTGCTTAGCATTCCTCTCCCTTGCAACCCCCTTTTTTTATATTGGCAACTTCCAGATGCCTCTGTGCTCTATCTGGAGACAATGGGGGTGTGGGGTGAGTTGGTCCCACCATTCCACTGCAATGCTGCTATATAATACTGCTGGCTAAGCAGTTTGGCCCTATCATGCAATTGTGATAGACCATTGCCAAGTGCTGCTATGTCAAATTCTTTAAGGGAGACAACAGCAGAACATCAGCAGAGGAATTGGACCAGGGACTGAAGGGAAGGGCATGCGTGCATCATCCTGGACCAGTCAACAAGCACCTTTCTAATCCCACTCACTGCTGGTCACCTAACTTTGCCTCTGATGGAATGGATGGTGAAGCATGACAGATTTTACACAACCTTATGGCTATTGGATGCTATCGGCTTAAGGAGAAAACACAAACACCAATACAGCTAAGAGCAGGCATATTCTCTCTGGGGTTAAAAAATAAATTAAAAAATAATTAAACGATGGCAGAGAGTTTTCTGTATCTCTGTACAGAATCTCTATCTCAGATACAGAAAATTGACTCGTGCAGCCTGGATAGTATGCCTAGATAAAGGACGGCTTAAGCATGCCTTACTCATGGGTTGCAGCTAAAATAAAGGGAACATCATAGGGAAACATCAGAAAAAAGGTGTTGCCAGGACATGTCTGTGCCATGGTTAAATGCAAGAAAGGCACAGCCTATGTCTAGATCATCCTTGCCTGAATCTATGCCAAAGGTATTTGAAATTTGCAAGTGTTATAAAGCTAAAGAGTTTCTAATGCTCTGTCCTCACAAGGAATCAGATCCTGCAACATAGGAATGAGGAATCAGCCCTGCAGATGGTTGACTGCAGCATCTATTGCCCTTAATTTCTACCAGGGTGTCTGACTGGTTGTCTGACACTCCTCCACTGTTTAGAACAGCCTTACTACTCTTTGTTGAATACTTCCTGGGAACTTTGTGAGGGTAGAAAGTTTTAACGTAGGCAACCCAAGATTATATATTTTGGGCATCAAAATAATTATTGCATGGAATAAAGTATGATAGGAGACAGCTTACTGTTTTTTGTTGAGCATCATCTTTCCCTGTGGGTGCAGGGATAGTTTCAGAGTAACAGAATGCAGACTGAGAATTCTTGTTGGAGTATCGCTGGTCTTCTGGGATGTAGGAACGCTCCTATACAAGTTTCATAAGATGCCACAGTTCACAAAGAAGGGGAAAAGGTGACAGTGAGCAGAGCTTTACACAAAATTATCTAAAAAGTCATTAGCTTGGAGCAAAGATGCTTAAAATCAGAAGCAATCAAGTACTGATGTTACTTGGGAGAGCAAGCAGATAGTAAATTAAAGTGCTACTTGACAAGCTTTGGATGAGGGTTACCTTTTTCTTTTTTAGCTTCAATATATACTGCAAGCCTAGAGAGTTCCCTAAGTTATGTTTAGATGAACCTATTTTGCTTCCAAAATGCTAAACACTCTAGCTTGCTATTAGAAGGAACGATGATGCAATGTTCAGCTGTCCCAAGCCATGGGCTACTACAGTACTCACAAATTCCTTGAAGGTATCTGTTGCAAGCAGATGAAGATGCTGAGCCCTTAGTACAGCATTGGCAAACAGGCTGGAGAGTGGTATTGTGGGGAAGGCTCCTCCTTCTGGCCATTGCAGAGCCAAGATAAAGAAACCAATGATGAGCAAAGAAGAAGGTCTACTGGTTTCTGCAGAAGAAGGTGAAGGAGGTTGGCTTCTTAACTAAAAGCTGACTTATTGGTAAGTCCTCAGCTCTAATGCAGATTAATTAAAATAGTGAAGCACTAAATCCAAGTTTTTTGCAAGACTGGAAGCTTACACCTATACAAAAGACACGCATGCACAAAGGCTCCACCTCTGCTGATGCTTCAGTTGAGTGCACCCACTGACTTTCTGGGTAACAGAAGCAAAAAGGAACCCATGTAAAACAGAAGCACTACTACATACGGACCACAGAGGATGCATGATGTGTACATCCGCACCCTCTTTCTCTTCAAACTGAGCATCTTAATGTGTCCAGATAAGTTGATAAATAGGAGGCTTTACAAGTTAGTTGCCGTTGCAGCAGTTTCATATATATTGTGGTTCCTGTTTTCTCAGTTTGTTAGCTGAGAATTTTTTCAGATACCTGGATGTGCCAAGTAAACTACAATTAGTGGCATTGTCTTTTTGTTGTTTGTTTTTCCCTTGGGGCAGCTGGGTCTCACTGTTGCTTCTGTCCCCATGAAACCCACCAATATAAATTTTTAAAATACCAATAAAGGAAATAAAAATAAATACACCCTGCTAGTTCCCAAAATTTAATAACAACCAGGGTTGCTACCTCTATTATGATTGACGGGTACCTATCACATGGAAAATTAATAGATAAGCATTTTTTCAATGTAAAAGCTGGACCCAATGAGTTCAGGTGGTTTTACAGCTATTAAAGATTCCAGGTCTCCGTCTTTTAAAAAGTAGCGGCCTCCCTACTGATGTGCAAAAGCTTACCTGAAGCCATGTCCTGTTAGCAAATCACGGAGGTGTTCAACACTTTTCTTGTCGATGCTGCCCCTGTCCCCTCTGAGCTGTTTTTATACACGAACATATGTTTATTGATCTTTGGAAGCTCATCAACATGCACTGATGCGTATATGGAGGAGTAAACCATGTGAATTGATGAAACGTAAATGTTGAAACCTGGATTGTATCACTTGGAGGGATCTGATGGGGAAATTGTCTCAGCTGTGGCCCCCTGGGTTTTTGGTTGCAGCACCATCGCAGGATTGTAATCACGGATGGCATATTAATAATAAATTACAATGATCACCACAGAAAATATACCATAGTTGAGCAATAAAATAATCTGACAACATAAATCATCCCCTTAAAAGGTGCCAATTAAAAAATAATAATTTGATGCTGAAATTAAGCCCAAGAGAGCAACTGTATGTTCCATGGAAAAAGGAATTTCAGAGATAGGTACCATAGCAGCAAAAGGCCATGTCTCCCATTATCACCCATGTTGTTTCAAATGCTGGGCCAGGAACAAGGCCACAGGAACTAGTCTTCACACCCAGGGACATTCATCACGACTTCTTTCAAAAAAACTGGTTTTTAGGGTTTTGTAGATCAGAACCAGTCCTTTGAACTGAACTGTGTTCAGAAACTGACCAAACCAACAGTAACTGCTGCAAGAACTGGCATGATAATTTTTGTAGGTCCAGCCCAGCAAAGGTTTGCATTAGAACATGGCTCCATTTTCAGTCTGTTATCTGTTATCTGTTTTTGATAACTAAAACAGACCTCAAATGTGTGAAAAGGTATATATTATACCAGTTGGGCACCAGTTTCATCCTAAACCATCTCCTTGACATGATGCTGCCTCAAGCAGATTGCTTTG